TCAAAAACCGTTGTTTTTTCTAGAAAAGACAACGGTGAAAAACCGTTGTCTATGTGCGTGACTTTTAACAACACCGGTTTCAACAACACTCAATAGACAACGGTTAAAAAACCGTTGTCGTTTCTAGAAAAGACAACGGTTAAAAACCGTTGTCTATGTGCGTGACTTTTAACAACACCGGTTTCAACAACACTCAATAGACAACGGTTCAAAAACCGTTGTCGTTTCTGGAAAAGACAACGGTTAAAAACCGTTGTCTATGTGCGTGACTTTTAACAACACCGGTTTCAACAACACTCAATAGACAACGGTTCAAAAACCGTTGTCGTTTCTAGAAAAGACAACGGTTAAAAACCGTTGTCTATGTGCGTGACTTTTAACAACACCGGTTTCAACAACACTCAATAGACAACGGTTCAAAAACCGTTGTTGTTTCTAGAAAAGACAACGGTTAAAAAACCGTTGTCTATGTGCGTGACTTTTAACAACACTGGTTTCAACAACACTCAATAGACAACGGTTCAAAAACCGTTGTTGTTTCAAGAAAAGACAACGGTTAAAAAACCGTTGTCTATGCGCGGGACTTACAACAACACCGGCTTCAACAACAGAAATTATACCCCTACGACAACAGTTATTAACTGTTGTCTATGTGCATTTTTCTTGTAGTGAGAGTTTGAGGACACACAAGACCAGAGTGCTTTTACTTCTACAAAGACCAGCGAGCGAAAAATTCATAAACAAGAACATCACGCCTTTCATCAAGTAAGTTTGGGTGAGAAAAAATGATTTTGTGTGCCATGTCTCGTTTCATTCTACCAGTTCAAACCGAGAAGAAAGGTGGTACTTTGATAGCGGCTGCTCACGGCATATGACAGGAAACTCATCTTTTCTAACCAATATCAAGGACAACAAAGGTGAAGTTACTTTTAGTGAAGGGGTAAAAGGGAAAATTAAAGGTACTGGTACTCTCACCGTTCCGGGTCTACCCAAGCTTAATCACGTTTTTCTAGTTCTTGGTCTCTACGCAAATGTCATCAGCATAAGCCAACTGTGTGACCAAGAGTGGAATGTATGCTTTACAAAGGATCGTTGCAATGTCAAGGATGTCAAGGATGTCAACAAGCAGTGTGTAATGGAAGGTAAGAGGTCATCATATAACTGCTACATTCTCAATAACGTTGTGTTATGTTGCAGGTCCAGTACTAGTGAATTGGTAGTTTGGCATAAAAAACTAGGCCACTTAAACTACAGGTCGCTGGATAAGCTAGTGAAAAATTGACGGGGTTCATGGATTACCCAAAATGAAGATTGAGCAAACAAATGTTTGTGGTGCATGTCAAGCTGGAAAACAAACAAGAGCTCCTCACTCTCACCAGAACAAAATCAAAACAACACACTGTTTTGAATTACTACACATGGATCTCATAGGACCAACACGTACCAAAAGTATTGGAGGAAAAAGGTATATCTTAGTGTGTGTAGATGATTTATCACGTTTTTCTTGGGTGGTGCTTCTCAGAGAGAAGTTCGAGACCTACGAAGCTTTTAAAGCCCTAGGACTTAAGCTACAATGGGAGAAAAATGAGCCAATCATTCGTATCAGAAGTGACCATGGACGTGAGTTCGATGATCAGATGTTTGATGATCTATGTGCAAACCTAGGGATACCACACGAATACTCAGCTCCCAAAACACCACAACAAAACGTAGTTGTAGAAAGGAAAAATCTGACCATCTAAGAAATGGCTAGAGTTCTTCTAAATGCAAAAAATCTTCCTCAAAAGTTTTGGGCAGAGGCGGTAAACACTGCATGCTATACCATCAACAGAGTCTATCTTCGGCCTGGAACTCATCAAACACCGTATGAAATCTGGAAAGGTAAAAACCTGAATATTCAACACTTTCATATATTTAGCTCACGTTGTTTCATCTTTAAGGATCGCCATCCAACAGCAAAATTTGAGCCAAAGAGTGATGAAGGGCTCTTTCTTGGCTATTATCCAAATAGTCGTGCTTACCGAGTGTATAACAAAGCCTCAAAAATGGTCAGGGAGTCCATAAATGTTGTGGTCGACAATCAACCAGATACTAATTATGATCCTCCTATATCTGGCCCTGCAACATAATTTGAGACAGATATTCCACAGCCATCTAACGCTGGTCCAATGCCTGAGCCAGAACCTAACTCTCCTACAACCTCATCAACCGAGAATCCAGAGTTTGAACCAAACCAAGAATTTGGTGAGCTGGGAGCACCATCTCGAATTCAAAAGGATCATCCAACGCAAAACATCAACGGAGATCCCTCATCCGGAGTTCGAAACAGGGGTAGGAAGCGTAACTATCTTGAGTTAGCTGGATACTCATGCTATATATCCAAGATAGAGCCCAAAAGTGTGAAAGAAGCATTATCTAACGAACACTGGATTAAGGCAATGCAAGAAGAGTTAGAATAGTTCGAAAGAAACAAGGTATAGAACTTAGTCCCTAAAGCTAACGGTGTTAATGTTGTAGGAACCAAGTGGATCTTTCGTAACAAAACTGACTCGGTTAGAAACATCGCTCGAAATAAAGCCAGACTGGTGGCACAAGGGTATTCGCAAACCGAAGGAATTGACTATGAAGAAACGTGTGCTACAGTGGCACGTCTTGAATCTATCCGACTACTTCTATCTATTGCTTGTGCCTTACACATAAAACTGTTTCAGATGGATGTCAAGACAGCGTTCTTAAATGGTTACCTATTAGAAGATATATACGTTGCACAACCAAAAGGTTTTGAAGACCCTCATCATCCCAATTATGTCTACAAACTGGATAAGGCCCTATATGGACTCAAACATGCTCCAAAAGCTTGGTATGAAAGGCTATCTCAATACCTAGTCCAACATGGCTACAACTGAGGGGGAGCAGACAACACTCTTTTTATAAAAAAAACAGGTAACCATGTAACCATTGCTCAAGTATATGTTGATGATATCATCTTTGGTTCTACTCAGGTAGGTGCTACTAATCAACTCATCAGAGTCATGAAACAAGAATTTGAGATGAGTATGATTGGAGAGCTAACATACTTCCTCGGTCTACAAGTTCATCAGACAACTGAAGGGATTTTCATATCCCAAGAAAAGTATGCTAAAAATCCGATCAAGCGTTTTGAGTTAGACTCCGCGAAAGATGCCAGAACGCCCATTTTAACAACTACGAAGTTAACAAAAGATGAGTCAGGCACAGGAGTTGACCCCACTCTTTATAGAAGCATGATAAGAAGTCTGCTATACCTAACAGCCAGTCGCCCAGACATTATGTTAAGTATTAGGCTGTTTGCCAGATTTCAAGAGAAACCAAAAGAGTCACATCTTAAGGCTGTGAAACGTGTCATCAAATATGTGAAAGGTACAATAAACTACGGTATATGGTTTTCCAATGACTCCAGTTTAAGTCTTGTAGGTTACAGTGATGCTGATTGGGCGAGGAATACTGATGATCGAAAAAGTACATCAGGAGGATGTTTCTTTATAAGCAATAACTTGGTAGCTTGGTTAAGCAAGTAGCAAAACTCAATATCCTTGAGTACTGCTGAAGCTGAGTATATCGCAGGGATGCGTCAGACGATGAGTGATGACAGGATAAACCAAGAATGCATGACCTTATACTGTGACAATACAAGTGCAATCAACATCTAAAAAAAATCCTGTTTAGCACTCTCGTACAAAACATATAGTTATCCGGCATCATTTCATCCGGGAACTAGTAGAGGACAAAGAGATTGACTTGAGCTATGTTTCTACGGATAAGTATATGACAGACCTCTTTACAAAACCTTTGGACAGAACAAGATTTGAGGCTCTTCGTGTAACTCTAGGAATCTGCAAAATGACAAGTTAACAAGAATGTTGTCTCTAAATAAACACAGGTAAACTGTCTCTCTGTTCTTTTGTTTTGTTTTGTTTTTTTTTTTTTAAATTTGGGTTCAAGTTTTGTTTTCAGGTCTACCCTCGAGCCGGATTCTGACCTAGGTTCTTCATACCCTTACCCTCTTCTCGAGCCGTTAGAATTTCTTTTTTTGTCCCACTACAAGTCAGCCTAATATCCCTCATCTCTTTGACTCTTAATTCCTAAGAATCGTCAAGCTTGTGGAATACTCTTCCCTTTATTTCCTATTATCCTTGGCTCCCAAACATTGCTCTTCCTCATTCCAAATTTCATCGTCGAAAATCCCTAACTTCTATAATAGCGAATGATCCTCGAGCTATCAATCCTTTTCTCATCTATCTATCTGATGATGAGAGAACAGAACTCTATCATCAGATTCTGATCGGGACTTCACCTCTATTAGCCGAAGTAGAGAAGCGGGTGTTAGCAACCTTGGTCCACAATCAAGATCTAATGGAGAATCTCACCCTGAAGGAATCGAAGCGGATACTCACCATGGCTGCTCACATTACGGTTGAACCTTGGCTGGTCGATACAGAGGATGCTCCTCCTGCGGCTATGGATGTCGAACGCCTAATTGACGAGGATCAGCTTTCCGCTGAGTTGGAAACACGAAGGGCAAAAGCGTTGGTAACTGTTTCTTCTCCTCTAGATGCTAATAGCTCGTTGCCCGAACCTAGGGTTACAAAATTGTATGTTAATTTACCTGATTTATTTGTCTTCTCTGTTGTGAAATTTGCTTTGCCTTGTGAAGAAGCTAACCCTTTGGATACAATTGTCTACACTGGTCCTACGCCGGGGAGTGCATCTTCAAACCCTAGCTTACACACTGTATCCCACTCAGATCCTCAGCCTGTTTCCTTCGATTTCTCTATTAGAGACCTCATTCAAAACTCCGGTGAACCCCTCTCACCTTCTCAATGATCTGTATTGGTTGCCCTTATAGCAAAGTTACCAAAACCTCCTATCTCTACCTAGTCTATTCTGATTGTCTGTCCCGTTTCCCAAAGACCCCTCACGGTCAAGGAAAGTGAAGGAGAAAGTTGGGTCTACATCGAAGTATGTGTCCTCCAGGAGAAAAGCCTCTGAATCTGACGATGATGACATTGTGGTTCTATGTGAAGTTCGAAAGCGTAGGTCGGTTCCCTCTGGTTCTATCCATATGACGAAGTCTAGGACAGGTGCATCAATCCTTATTATTCCTCCAGCCCTTGTGCCTGAGTCTAAGCCTGCCTCTAAGTCCACCCCAAAATCTAGCAAAAAGTCTACCCATAAATCTACTTCAACCCCTAAAGCCACCATCTCCAAAAGTTCCAAACCTAAGCTTTTCAGCCAATATTGAGACTGCCAGGACTTTAGGACTCTTGGGAGGTCAATCTGTCTAGATCCCTTCTTGTGGAGAAGGTAATAGATGTGGACAATCTGTTATCTCATTGCAACATTATCACTCTTCTTCGTGATCAGAATTTCCTCAATACTGTTCAAGGCAAAGGCACTTATTCTGGATGGCTCACTCTAGAGTTCTACACTAACCTCTCCTCTGATTTCGCACTTGCCTCATCGCCACACTATCATCGGGTGTTTGTCCGTGGAAAATGGTATGATTTCAGCCCTGCCGTCATCAACAGGTACTTCAACCGTTCTACCCTAGAAGAGGACCTTGAGCCAGGATTGGATGTGTTGGCTTCTACACTCATACATGCTGCGGTCACTACCTGGCCTACCACTAATTTGCCCTCTACTTCAGTCACAAAGGTCTACTTTGTTCTGTTTTGTCTTTCCTCCAACAATTGGCTTCCTAATGTTACTCTTCATTGTGTGAGCAAGAGGATGGCTGTTCTTCTCTACAAAGTGCGCAACAAGATTGATTTTGATTTGGTGACTTTAATCTACAATCATATTATGGGGTTTGCTAAGGGAAAAGAACCTAAGGTACACTTGTTGTTCCCTTGCTTAATCTATGGCATTCTGAAGGAACAAGGTCTCAAGCTTTATGAAAATGAACATGAGTATTCGATTGAGAAGAAATACACCATGGACTATCGGTTACATCAAAGCTCTCATTTTGATGATCGCGATTCTCTACTTGCGGAGATCTTCCCTGCTCCGGCTCCTATGCCAACTGCCTCCGGATCTTCATCTGTCGGACCTGACCTAGTGCCTACTGCTACTCCTAATAATCCTCCTGAACTAGTGGTTTTTCGACAACAGGTTGCGTACTATAGGGCTGTGTCATCTGCTTTGAAAAACAATATCTCTTCCTTACAGGCTGTTGTTGCAGATACTGAGGACAAGCTTGCCACTACTCTTCGTCAGATCTCTACCCTAGAAGACGCCATCACTGCTCGCTCTGCGGCTCATGAGGATCCTGTAGACACTGACGACTTGGGAACTCTGTCTAGTAGCACAACTCACTAGATGGTCTCCTTTTCCCCTTGGTAGTTAGTAGACAAAAAGGGGAGTACATTTGAGGGGGAGTTCAGTTCTTTTGTTTTTTGGTTGTTGGTTTGGTTGGATGAACTGACTGCACATAAACTTTTTTTTTTTTTTTTTTTTGTAATAACGTGTGGTTGTTGCGTTTGGTAGCTCTTTACTTATTGTGATAAGTTGTTCTTCTTTGGTTTCTTGAGTGTGTGTGAATTTGCTTGTTAATTATGTGCTACTTCGTATCTTGTTCAATAAGTATTGGTATGTTTATGTGATACTTGCCTAGCTTTTTGCCAGTTCGTGTGACAGTTTGGTAAGAGGAGGTTATGAGATGTTTTTTTGTTATCTGGAGCCATATCTATATCTGATCCAGACATAGGAAATATGTAAACAAGTATACTTTGACTGGTTAATAAAATATGGTTTCAAGCCTAAGAGTATATTTTGTTCTAGTATGTGTTTTGTCAACTAATTGCCAAAGGGGGAGATTGTAAGTGCATACAAATACTGCACGTTGGATCCTATATGTATTGGCTTAATTATTTGTCAAAATAATTCAGTATGTTGTTTTCTGGATCAAAAACAGTCGTAGCCCCAGTCTTTAGGTTTACTCTTTCTAAGTGTGTCAAGACCCTATTTTGGTGCGGATCTAAATCGTGAGGTGCTGATGCTTTTGAGGACTAAGCAGCAACTTGTTTTTAGCCTTCGAAGTCTCTCTTCTAACCTCTATAAAATGATACTTTGTTTAGTGAGAAGATGTCAATGCTACAATTACAGGACATATGTGACGACCCAAAATTTAATTTTATAAATCTGATTTTAAGAAATTCCAAAATAGCCATTTTCCACTCTATAAAAATTTTTGAGGAAAAATTTGTGTTTGAATAAATTTTTTTGAGTTACATTTTAAATGAATTCAACACCGGAACTTATTTTAAATCTAAAATCCTAGATTTTCGGGTTCATTGCGTACCAAGTTTTTGATCCAAAAGTCAATCTGAGTGAAACCGGAAAGGAACCTGTAAAACCTAAACCAAGTGTTTTAATTAGAACTATCTTTTAGAAAATGTATTTTGACCCCAAGTTATTCAAAAATCATCGTTCGAGACTATGGTTCATGATGCAAGGTAAACCCTACAATGTTATTTTTCATTTTTACCCCCCAAACCCTAAGTATAAGGGTTAGCTTTCTCCCTCTTGCACTATTAATTTTCTCCAAAAGATCAGTAGCTTCCATTGTGACCTTCTCTCTCTCTCTCCCTATCATCTTCATCTCTTTCATTTTTAGAGCTTCTTCTAGCAAAGCCTAGGTCCAAGACTTGGTAAGATTTCATCTCTTCTTCTCCATATTCCTTTGTTAGCTTGTCTTCTAAGATGACGTTTTCTAAGCTTGAGGTTTATATTTGGGTTGTTGTGGTTGCTTGAGAAATGGAGATGGTAAAGAAGAAGACCTAGCTCGATGATGGAGATGAAAGGATTCTTGAGGTTGAAAAGCTTGAGGTATAACCCCATGGACTCCCAACTTAGTTTTGGCTCTGTGAAGCCACTATGAAATAGTTAGAAATGAATAAATATGCTAGAATGTTGTGTGTTTGAGCTATTGGATGTCTTTTTGATGTTGTATGATGTGTTGTTGTTGATTTGGAGGTGGTTTGATGTCAGGTTTGGCCTTACAGATGAAGAAGGAGCCACTGGTGCACCTCTCAGTGTGCACTAGTGGAAGTCACAGGCCTAGCCAACGGCCCACGAGGGGAGCCGTTGGCTAGAACCATGGCTAAACGGCCCTAGGCCACCGCTGGACGGCTCCAGGCGGCGGAGTTCCCCTAGCCCCGCCGCTAGGACCGTTGCAGGTTACCTGTGCAGTGGCCGGGCCCTTGTGGCTCAGCTACGTGTCGTTTCGGACCGAGTGTCACGGGCCCTCGTGGCTCGGTACCTTGGGACCGTTATGACGCACGTTTGGCCTTTGATTTCGTTGAATTTGGATTTGAAATGAGCATGTTATGGTAGAATTTGTGATGAAATGCTTCACAGTAATGTTATTTGAGTTCATCAGACTTGCACTGCCTATGGGATTGGCTTGTTATTATCTTCCTGATGCTATTTGAGTATTGAATAGAGAAGCATGAGCATTTTGTGAATAAGAATTGTTAGAAAAGCATGATTAGAGTGTGTGCTATGTTCAATGGAAATTGTAGTCTGTTTTGATAGTAGAAATGTACAAAGTATGTTATTTTTAATCCAAGCATGATTCTGTGTTCTTTGATGAGTTCATGGTGATATATAGAAATGGAGCATGTGTACTATAAATTAGATTTCCAAGCATACCATGTTTTATAAAGTGCATATATGGCCAACGTGAGCCTAAATATTATTTTCCAAAATTCATGAGCAAGTGGTATGTCATTACCTTGTTGCATTGAGAAGTTGTTGAGACGTGACATTCATAAGTTTGGTGCATGAGAGATATATATAGTATCTATCCATAAACGTAAGGTTTTGGAGGACCCGTTGGGACTATGTCCTTTCGGATGATGTTGACCGGATATTGAGATTCGATGTTTTGTAACGCGGTGTATTCCCATGTTACGAGGTTGGAAACTGCCCGCCAGGCTTGGAATCCTGGTCAAGGGGTGTGCATGCTAAAAGTTCGATACCTGATTCCACAGAGTTGAGCATAGAACTAAGAGAGTGGTTCGGTGGACGAGACGGTAATTTGGTCGGCTAGACGCCGTGCCCGGATAGGTTCGTTCACGATACGGTGAAGTTCCTACCTCGTCCATTTGTAAATAAAGTGAGTCACGGCGATCTAAGAAAACGAGTCATTGCGACTCTAAGAAATGAAAGCAAGTGGGTCATTGTGGCTCTAAGAAACCTCCACAGAAAGTACTCTATTTTATAACGAGAGTATATATATACTTACAGTATTTCATTGCATTTGAGTATAGTGTTGCACGAGATTGCATAATGAGATTGTTTGCACTAGATTGCATATCGAGAATGATTACCCGAGTTTGTATATTGAGTTTGGTTGCCTTAGTTGTATACTAAAGTTAATATCTCTTAATTGCATGTTGAGATCTTGATTGCATGAGATTGTTAAGGAGTTGTTCTATAGAGTTGAGTTTTGCTATGTTAATTATGTGTAGTATGATTATGTTGTTAAGTTGTTTATTGTTGAAGCATGCATGTTGATATTATAGGTTGCGAGCCTATAGAAAGCTTGTGGTTTATCTTAAAGTTTGTCTAAGTGATTGAATTGTTTAATTTGAGAATGTGATCAAATGTTTTTCCAAAGTATATACTGTAGTATTTTTACAGGGTTGAGTGTGGTTATACTTAGCTTCGTGCTAACGGGTGTTTTCTACTTGTCTACTTCTTGTTTTGCAAAACCCCTTTCAGGAGGGCCCAACGTTTGAGAGTTGTTCGAGTTAGACTAGTGTAGTTGATCTATTAGTCTAAACTCTTATTTTCTTTTATGATGTTATGGATTATGGTTGTAGACTTATGTTATTTTGTTTGGTGATAGACACCGGGGTACTTTTCCCCAAGTTACTTTGAATTAGTAATTTCGAATGTTAGTTTGACTCGATGATTTAGTTCTATCCTTAGCCTGTGCAATCACTGTGGAAAGGTGGTTGTGGCAGTGACATTCCCACTAGTTTGTTAATTAAGTATGATTTTCCGCTGCTTAGTTTATCTTAAATTTGTTTTAGATCTGTAATTAAGTTTAAGAAAAATGGGTGTGAGAAGTTGGTATCAGAGCGCTATGAACCGTGGGATTTAGGAAAGCTGAACCTTAAGATTGAGTATGGGAGACCTAAGTGAAAGCACTAGGATGGAGAGAAGAACTATATAAGGCTAGATTAGATATTTTAGTTAGATTATATCTCATAATCTTGGACATTCTTACAACTTAGTTCTAGTTCTAGCTATGTTTTTTCTCTAGCCTCTCAACATTGGATTGAAGATCTTCTTGGGTGAAGGAATCTTGACACAATTCCTTAATCTAGAAGACATTCGTTGATTCAATCTCTATTGCAATCAATTTTGGTAATTCTTTTTGCTTTCTTACTTTCAATTTCTTTGCCTAATTAGTTGACCCTTGATTCAATAATGATTATCAAGCTACAATGAGTGGCTAGATCTCTTTTAGGAATTGAATTGTGATTCTATTTGCATGATGCTAGTGTGTAATGTAATTCTTACCTAGATTGTGCATTGCAATTGTGATTGAGTTCTTGTTACAATTGGTGAATTGTTTGCATCTTGTGAGTCTGACCAAACTCCCTTGATTGTTCTAAGATAATTGATCTAGGCAAGGGATTGCTATATCAATTGTAGCTCTAAGCCAATTTGTATTTCCTTTCTTAAAGTTTCGAGAGGCCTAAGATTGGAATGAGGTGAAGACAAGGTGTTTGATGAAATGTTTCTTAGGATCATAGTTACTTAAAGGTGTTTCTATACCAAGAAAAGACCTAGTAAACCGAGAGGCGAAAGGCATTTGTAAATCCTCACTCAATGTCACAACCTTTCCCTTAGACACTAGAAGTGTCATGTGATAGATGAGCAATTCCATTCCTACCTTTCCTTAATTGAATTCTATTAGAAACTAAGATTGGGCCAGGATCACTCAACTGGGCTATAATGCACATAGGTCGAACCACACTAAAAGATTGAATCCAACAAATTATCTAGTCTAACCCATGACCTTATAAACCCATATGCTCTCTCTTATTTTATTGATGTGGGACTCTTAACAGTCCCCTCAAGTGGACAACAGGCCATTTTGAATCTAACCGGTTGACCACTTGAAATTGTACCGGACCCTCCCTGAAACGAAAGCTCTCGATGCCACCAAAGTGGACCGAATAAGCGAGCTTACGAAAGCTTGGACGCTACCAATACCCATAACTGGGTGAACCAGTGGACCGAATAGGCTCTGATACCATGTTAAAAACTAAGATTGGGCCAGGATTACTCAAATATATATT